CCTCCTCCTCCTCCTCCTCCTCCTCCTCCTCCTTCTCCTCCTCCTCCTCTTCCCCCTTCGCCGAGAGAGAGAGAGAGAGAGAAAAAAAAAAAGGGGGGGAGAGAGAGAGAGAGAGAGAGGGAGAGGGTCTGAGAGACTGGCGCTCGGAGCTCTCGCTTTCGCAGCTGGCCCGAGAGGACAGAGCGACCGGGAGAGAGAGAGAGAGAGAGAGAGAGGGAGAGCAGCGGCGCGCGGGCGAGGGGGGGAGGTGGCTTCGTGGAGAGGCTCCCGCGGCCGGCCGCCGGAGGCCCGGCGCATGGCCCCGCCAGGGGGCCGGGCGCGGGAGCCGCTCCTCGGACCTCGGCCTCGCCGCCTCGCCCCTCGGCGTGCCACTCGGCGCTCGGGCGCTGCCTCGGCACGATTGTGCAGGGGAACAAGAAGTGGCAGAAGCATAACAACTCGGAGGTCCGCGCGGCTTTCTCGCATCGGCGCCGGGGCCCCCCGGCGGCGCCTCCGGCGCCGCCCCTGGCGCGCAGCACGCGCGCCAGGGAGGGGGGGGGTCCAGCGCCGATCCGAGAAACCCGCGCGGCCCTCCGAGTTGTCATCATGTTTCTGCCACTCTCTGTTCCCCTAGTGCTCTCCCATAATTTCCTGGACCGCGATTGGGTTCCCCCGAGATCTCCTGGATCTCCTCGCGAAGACCGCGATTGGTTTCCCCCGAGAGCTTCGCGCCCGAAAGAGAACCAGCACAACCCGCCCCTCGCCGGCGGGCCGGCCGCCGTCCTCCCGGGCCTCGCCCCCTGGGGCGCACGCCCTGGCCTCTCGCCCGAGCCCCGCTCGGGGGCTGCTGGCGGTGATCTCTGCAGCAGCGCCCGCACGAAGTCCGAAGCGCGACGTCGTCGGGTCGGCGTCGCCGACGCCGTCGCCGCCGCCGACGCCGTCGCCGCCGACGCCGTCGCCGCCGCCGCCGCTGTCGTCGTTGTCGTCGTCGTCCTCCTCCTCCTCCTCCTCCTCCTCGTCCCCCTCCTGCTTCTCCTCTTTCTGTTCCTTCTCCTCCTGAAGGGGCTTGCAGCAGGTAGGGGGGCCTATCCTTGAAAGCTCGACTCGTTCAGCCAGCCCTGAAGAAGTGGTCGGCCCCTATCGAAGCAGCGCGGTGCTCTAAAGGGACCTGGAAGGACCGCCGCCAGGAGGGGGGGAAGAGGCCGCCGCCGCGCCGCCGCCGAGGCGAGGGAAAGGCGAGTCGGGCACGGTTGGGGGCGGTGGCGTCAAGTGGTGAGCCCTCGGGCGAATCCAGGGTGCCCAGCCCCTCCTCCTCCTCCTCCTCCTCCGAGAAAGAGAAAGAGAAAGAGAAAGAGAAAGAGAGAGAGAGAGAGGGAGGGAGGGAGGGAGGGAGAGGGAGAGGGAGAGGGAGAGGGAGAGGGAAAGAGAGTGAGAGAGAGAGAGTCTGAGAGACGGACGCTTCGAGCTCTCGCTTTCTCAGCTGGCCCGAGAAAAAAGAGAGGGAGAGAGGGAGGTAGAGAGCCCTGGAGCGGATCCCGGGTGCCCCGCCCATGGCCCATGGCGCAAGGCGGCAACCTGGAGGCCGGCCTGGGCAGCCCGATCCGGGCGGGCTGCCGAAGCAGCGCATCCGTCCGGACTTGGCCGTCACCCGCGGCTGTTGCGGCCGCCAGTTTTGGGCCGCCCCGCCTCGGCGCAACATGCCAGCCGCGTCCCAGGCACCCCAGCATCAAGGTCCCAAGTTTCTCCTTCTCCTCCTCCTCCTCCTCCTTCTCCTCCTCCTCCTCCTCATCCGCATCCTCCTCCTCCTCCTCCTCCTCCTCCTCCTCCTCCTGGCCCCCCGTCCGACGAGGCAGCACCTTGGGCTCCGGAGGGGGGCTCCGGCTTCTGGGCCGCTCTTGAGATCTGGGATCGGGGAGCTTGCTCGGAGCCGAGGCTTTCGCCGCGGCCCGAAGAGCACCCTCGTGTTCGGCGTGCTTTATGTCAGCCCTGGACGGCGTCCGAATCCACAGCGTAAGTCCTTATGTCGGCACGATGACTGCGCTTCCCCGCCGCCCCCCCCGCCGCCCCCCGCCGTCGCGTCCAGCACCCTCGTGTTTGGCGTGCTCTATGGCAGCCCTGCGCGGCGTCCGAGTCCACAACATAAACCCTTATGTCGACACGATGACTGCACTTCCCCGCCGCCGCCCCCGCCGCCGCTCCCAACACCTTCGTATTTGGCGTGCTTTATGATAGCCCTACGCGGAGTCCGAATCCTCAACGTAAATCTTTCTGTTGGCACCATGACTGCACTTCCCCGCCGCCGCCCTCGCCGCCGCGCCCACCCTTCTGAAGCGGGCGGGGCCCTTTCCCTTATGATATTCCTCCCTACTTTAGCTTTGACCGCCAGAAAGAGTTTCGAGTACCAAGAAAAGACCGAAACGCGAGGGTTTTCACGTGTCGGGCCCTGGGAGGCGATGCTTGTTCGACATTGTCTCTGTATTTTCCTGGGGTGCTCGAAAGTATTTCTGGGATGTGGCACGTAAGTGCGAGGGGAGCAACATACCCCCCCCGTCCCCCCGCCGAGGTCGCAGCCAGCGAGGGGCGACCGCGGCGACCGCCACCGCGGCAGAGGCGCGCCCGCCACAGTGTCGCCGCCGCCGCCGCCGCCGGCCCGACGTCGTACGGCAAGACGGCGCACACGCGACGGCGCCGCCGAGGGCGGCGGCGGCGACGCGGCGACAGCGGCGAGCACGACGATGCCGACCGAATCGGCGACGACGGTGAGCACGACGACGGCGGCGACCATGATGCCGACGGCGACGACGGCGGCGACGACAAGATTGCATCATTCGACGAGCGACGGACGGTGGCGGGAGTCGGCGTGCTTGGAGCGGGAGCCCGAGGCCCCTGAGGTGGCATGCCGGTGGGGCTGGAATGACGTTCCCGCGGACCTCAGACGAGCCGAAAAAGGCATCGTGCTCAGCTGTGTATACGGCTGCGGCGGATGGTGAGCGCAGCCGCCCCACGCAGATGAGTGCGCTGCAGAGGGATCGCGTCAGAAGCACTGATCTACTGCTGTGGTCAATCCGAAGCGGAGGCGTTCCATGGTGGGCTCCAGTTCCAGGCAACGAGGACCTTGATCAAGACCTTCAAGATGTCTCGGCGCGCTGTCCCAACATCTTCGGCGAACGACTCTGGCTGGCCGGACTCCGTGGGGGATGTGCCAAGCGGGCATCTGGAGCACCAGGTCGAAGGGAGGCAGCCCTGGCCCGAGATGCCAGAAACCCTAGGAGACGCCCCCGCGGACTTGAACCAAGACCCACCTGCCAGCTTCTCAGCTGCACGGATACGCCCGTGCTGAAACGCCGCACGTATACCTTGCTCGAACGTCCAGGTGGAGCACGTTGCGTGCTGGCTCAACGTGTTGGCCCACGTTTTGGTCAACGCATCGCGCCAGACCTACGTTTTCATCCTATAACAGTTTGACTTCCGACGCAACGGCGGGCTGCGTGTTGCGTGCAAGGGGTGTTGAGGATGACCGTGCAGAGCTTGTGGGATGGACGAGGAGGCCTGTCGTGGAGCAGAGGTCACGCCGAGAAACCACGCCCACACCAGGCCCAGCGGCGGCATCGGGGAGGCGCCGCGTAGAACCCCACGGAGTTTCGCACACGCCAGCTCCCAAAAGGTCGCTGCAGAGGCGGCAAGGGCCGGAAACGCAACACATGACAGTCATGCAGATCGGCATCGCGATCTGAACGACCTTCTCCCAGGTGCCCAGCTAGCTCCTCTCGGAGGTGGATAGACCTCCTACCCTGACACGTCGATTAGTGAATTGGCCGTTTTCGGTTCGCGAGAGGGCGTCGCGGCCGTCATTTTTGCGGGTCCAGGTCCGTCGGTTTCGGCCCCAGGCCGGTTTCACTAAGGGGAGGTTTACTAAAGGGAGGTTTGTCCACCGCCGATCCTCGAAGGCATCGACGGGGCCCGTGGTCGTGCGGCCTGCGGAGCCCGCCGAGGTACCTAGGCCCGCCCCATCTTCGAAAACCCCTCCCCACGCACACCTGGTGCGTGTGTGTGTGTGTGTGCATCGAAGAAGCGAAGGCGGCATAACCTAAACTTTCGGAGTTCTGCGCAGATTTCTTGGATCGGTGCTGGGAACCCCCTGGCGGCGCCTCCAGCGCGGGAAGGGGGTGCTGCGCCGATCCGAGAAATTAGCGCGGAGCTCCGAAAGCTTACGTTCATGCGGTTGTTCGTCTTCTAGTGCAGCCCCCCGGGTGGCGGATGCTTCGACGTGGCAGGCCTCCTCCGAGAGAAGTCTCGGATCCTGGCCCGGAGGTCGGCGCGCTGCGGGGCGTCCGGGTGGTCCGGGAAACCCGGCGGGCCCACCCGGGACCCGACCTCGGGGTCGGAGGCGAGTTCCGCGCGGTGCACATCTGCTCCATGTGCCCCCCTCCTCCCCGTGCGCCGGGCTCGCGCGCCACCGCGGCGGAGCCGGCGGCGTGCGGCCGCCTCCGCCGCCGCCGACGCGGTTACCGCTGCCGACGGCGACGAGGACGACGGCGACGACCAGGACGACGAGGACGAGGACAACGACGACGAGGACGAGGGCGACGACGACGACGACGACGATGACCAGGACGACGAAGGCGACATGAAGGTCGACGAGGACGACGAGGGCAACGAGAGTTCGTGCATCGAGGATTGAGGCCCGAGCCTCCTGGGCGTCGCCCCCGCCGCCGCGGTCGCGGCCGCCGCCGCTGCCGCCGCCGTCCTCGTCGCTGTGGTCGTCGCCCTTTCCCTGGCGGTGCTGATGGACCCTGGGTCTCCAGAGCCCTCTGGGCGGAGGAGGAGGAGGAGGAGGAGGAAGAGGAAGAGGAAGGAGGAAGAAGAAGAAGAAGAAGAAGGAGGAGGAAGAGGAAGAGGAAGAGGAGGAAGAGGAAGAGGAAGGACAAGGAGGAGCTCCACAGGCGGCGCTCGGCCGCGCCGGCGCCGAAGGATCGTCGTTCCTCGTCGTGGTCTGCCGTCGCCCTCGTCGCTCGCCTGCCGCCGTCGGCCGTCGTGTGTCGCTCGTCGCTGCCGCCTGGTCTTGCTCGTCGTGTGCAGCCGTCGTCGTCTTCCCCTCCCTGGTTGCCCATCTCGATCTCGAGCCGACCCGCGGGGGCCGGCTCCGGCGTGGCTCCGCCGCTTCCCGGCCGCCATCTATGTATTGGGCGATGGTCTTCCGAGGTGGACCCAGGCATATCAGAAGAGGAAAAGGTACCCGTACCCTTTGTGGGCCCCGGAAACGGCAGGGCCGTTTTTTCACCGTTTCCAAAAAAAAATGTCCCGTGAAAATGGAAACGGCAAAAAAACGGCGACCGGAAACGGCAACAACGGCGACCGGAAACGGCAACAAAAACGGCTTCAGGATTGGAACCGGAGCTGGAACCGGTCAAAAAACGGCGACGGAACCGGTAAAAAAACGGCGTTGGAACCGGCAAAGAAACGGCAAAACGGAACCGGTAAAAAAACGGCTTTGTCGTTTCCAGGGCCCACTAAGCCCGTACCTCTGCCCCTTCCGTGTTCCCCTTTGTTGGGCCTCCTGGGAGGCCCTCGTCTCCACCACCGTTGGGTTCGCCTCGAAATTCTGGGCAGAGCGCACCCCAGGAGAGGTCCGGGGAGCAGCGGTGTCGGTACCTTCTCGGCTTCCCCAAGGCATGCGAGGTCTGATCTTGTCAGTGCGGGGTCTCCGGATGGCCCGGCCCTTTCCCCAGGGCGGGTCTTTCAACCCGAGCAGGTGTTCGACGGCCCTGGGGCCTGGTGAGGGCCTCTAGAGTCCGAAGACGGCCAGCAGCTTGTCGTCGTGATTCTCCCACGACGTGAGCCTGTCTCCTGAGATCCGACGTTGCGACGAGAGGCAGCACCGCGAGACATTGCGACTGGGGCCCTTTTCTGCCGCATGTTTCGAGCCCAGTCGATCGGTTACTGTCGCGTCGCGATTTCTCCACGCCGCGAGCACGCCTGCAGTCCACGCCCCGCCTGAGTGTGAGAAGCCTGGCCTTAAAAGTCGGGCATGTCCCTCTACAGGAGGAATGTTCAAGAATTGTGAGAGAATAGTCTGGTGACGATTTCTCGTGTTCCTTTTGACTATTCGTGGTTATGTTTTGACGATGTTTGATTCTGTAGGAAGAGAAACAGGAGGAGGACGAGGAGGAGGAGGAAACTATGAGGAGGGGGAGGCGGAGGATGACGAGGAGGAGGAGAAGGAGGAGGACCAGTGCAAACCCGAGAGTCATCGACGATGCTGGAATTAATCCTCCCTCCAAGCTCCCTCTTGATAGGCCCCTACAACGGTTCGTCTCCATTGAGGGAACTGCCTCGTTGGAAGACAACCGTTTGAAGACCCTGGAGCATGCCAAAACATTGTTCTTTGGATTTCAACGCCACGGATCAACCTGACTGCTGCGTCTTGACGATCCGGAATCGTGCCAGAACGCCATTTGGGGGGCTTCAACACCGCGAACCAACTTAACTGTTACACCCGTATAATCTCGAATCCTTCCCAAGTGTCATTTCTGGCATACGTTGATATGGAAACCCGTGACATTGTTCCAATTTGTCAAAACGAATGTGCGCGGCGCTAGAGCGAGAGCCACATTTCGAAAAGGAACCGCCCTCAGTCCGCGAAGCGTTTGCATATGTTTAATACGAGTGTGCGCGGCGCTACAGCGAGAGCCACATGTTGAAAGCCACCCGCCTTCAGTCCGTAAAACTCTTGCAGACGTTTGAAACGAATGTGCACGGTGCTAATGCGAGAGACACATGTTGAAAACGACCCGCCCTCAACTTCCTCAACCCCTGAAGCTCTTGCAATTCTGTCAAACGAATGTACGCGGCGCTGGAGCGAGAGCCACATTTCGAAAACGACCCGCCCTCAATCCGTGAAGCTCTTGCAAATGTGTCAAAGACAAGTGCACGGCGCAAAGGCGAGAGCCTTTTTTTGAAAACGACCCTCCCTCAATCCGTGCAGTTCTTGCATATGTTTAATACGAATGTGCGCGGCGCTGAAGCGAGAGCCGCATTTTGAAAACCTTCCACCCTCCATCTGTGAAGCTGCTGCAATTTAAAGCTTCAGAATCATTAATGATGAGGAAGTCTCAGGCGAACCGCCCGGCCCGACCTAAAAACTTGCCCCGGGGCGCGACAGGGCAACATTTTTGAAAAGAAAAGAATGGAGGGGGAGGGGGAGGAGGGAGGAGAGGAGGGGAAGGAGGGGAAGGAGAAGGAGGAGGAGGAGGAGGAGGAGCAGGAGCAGGAGAAGGAGGAGCAGGAGGAAAGGAGGAGAGGAGGAGGAGGAGGGAGGAGGAGGAGGAGGAGGAGGGGAGGCGGAGGAGGGAGGAGGAGGAGGGAGGAGGAGGAGGGAGGAGGAGGAGGAGTTGAGGAGGAGGAGGAAGGAAAATAATCACGAGGAGGAGAATAGCGAGCAGCAGCAGCAGCGGCCCCGGCCGAAGCCCTGCCCCGCCCCCCTCCGAGGGCAACGGCCCGCCGCGGCCGTGTCCATGCCCTCGCTGACGGCGCACCTCCTCGCGGAGCCAACAGGCGCCCCCTCGGCCCGCGCGAAGGGGGCAGCTCGGCCTCCAGGGCTATGGCACCGCCAGTGCGACAGGAACGCTGCCGTCGGTTCGAGGAGAAGGGGGGGAAGGAGGAAGAAGAAGAGGGGGAGGAGGAGGCGGAGGAGAAGGAGGAGGAGGAGGAGACGGAGACGGAGACGGAGACGGAGACGGAGACGGAGACGGAGGAAAAGGAGGGGACGGAGGAAAAGGAGGGGACGGAGGAGGAGGAGGAGGAGGAGGAGGAGGAGGAGGAGGAGGCTGGGGAGGAGAAGACGGAGACGGCGACGGAGGAAAAGGAGGAGACGGAGGATGAGTTTCGTCGGTTCTCCTCGTCAACTTCCGCCACCGCTACCATACGCAGGACGGGGGAGACGGGAGGAGGGGGAGGTCCTCCCTCTCCTCCTGCTCCTCCTCCTCCTCCTCCTCCTCCTCCTCCTCTCCTCCTCCTCCTCCTCCTCCTCCTCCTCCTCCTCCTCCTCCTCTTCCTCCACCTCCACAACCTCATTCTCCTCCTCCACCTCCTCATCCCTCCCTGCCTATAATAGTGGTGGTGAAAAAGCGATTCTTCAAGAACCGCTGTCGTCGGTTCGGTAAGTTTCGTCGGTTCTCGTCGTCGGTTTCGGTGATCCTCTAGCGCTCTATCGTTTTTTTTGTCAGGCCTCCGCGGTTTTCGGGCTTCGGGATGCTTTGCAGCAGCTGCGCCTCGCCGAACGCTATCCGGGAGTGCTCGGATCGTTCTGAAAGGCCGCGGGGGATTGAGCCATGACCCGAAGACCAAACGACGAGAGGATCGCTTGCTTCCCAGACATGCCCGCGTCGTGACAAAAGTCACAGGTTGTTGTTGGCCTCCAGGGGCCTTCGCGAGACCAGGGGAACGTCAAGAAACGGGACCAAGAAAGAGCCAGCCCTTGGGAAAGGGTCGGGCATTCGGGGGACCCCGTGCTAAATGTCAGCTTGTGATATCAAATTCTGGACCCCCTCTGGGGCTGATTAACAGGCCCCGCGGGGCGCGACATTTTTTCACCACGCGCGCCAGGGTTCGGGGAGTTCGGGGAACCACCGCGCCGCGGATGATGGCAAACGGCATGATCGACGAGGAAGAGGAGGAGGAGGAGGAGGAGGAGGAGGAGGAGGAGGAGGAGGAGGAGGAGGAGGAGGAGGAGGAGAGGAGGAGGAGGAGGGAGGAGGAGGAGGGAGGAGGAGGAGGAGAGAGGAGGAGGAGGAGGAGGAGGAGGAGGAGGAGGAGGAGGAGGAGGAGGAGGAAGGAGGAGGAGCGAGGAGGAGAGAGGAGAGGAGGCGGCGGCGAGGAGGAGGCGGAGGCGGGCGAGGCGGAGGCGGAGGAGGAGGAGAGGAGGAGGAGGAGGAGGAGGAGGAGGAGGAGAGGGTGGAGGAGGAGGAGGAGGAGGAGGAGGAGGAGGGAGAGGAGGAGAGGAGAAGAGGGGAGGAGAGAGGAGCAGAGGAGGAGGAGGAGGAGGAGGAGGAAAAGGAGGAGGACGAGGAGGAATAATAAGAAGAAGGCAACTGAAAAGAAGGCGAATAATCATAATAATAAGATGACTACGAATAATACTAACAAGAAACAAGACGGATGATAATAATAATAATAATAATACGAATAATAATAATAAGAAGAAGAAGAAAGGGATAAACATAATAATATTAAGAAGAATAATAATAGTAGTAAGAAGAAGATGAAGAGGAGGAGGAGGAGGAGGAGGAGGAGGAGGAGGAGGAGGAGGAGGAGGAGAGAGGAGAAGAGGAGGAGGGAGGAGGAGGAGGAGGAGGAGGAGGAGGAGAAGGAGCAGGAGAGGAGGCGGAGGAGGAGGAGGAGGAGGTGGAGAAGCAGGAGCAGGAGGAGGAGCAGGGTCAGGAGTAGGAGGAGGGCGAGGGCGGAGGCGGAAGCGGAGGAGAGGAGGAGGAGGAGGAGGAGGGGAGGAGGAGGAGAACAGAGGAGGAGGAGAGGATACAGGAAAAGGAGAGGAGGGGACGAGGGACGAGGAGGACGAGGACGGGAGGACGAAGAGGAGGAGGAGGAGGATGAGGAGAGAGAGGAGGAGGAGGCGGAGGAGGAGAATGGAGGAGGAGGAAGAGAAGGGGGAGGAGGAGGAGGAGGGAGAGGAGGAGGAGAGGAGAGAGGAGGAGGAGGAGGGAGGAGGAGGAGGAGAGGAGGAGGGAGGGGGAGAGGAGGAGGAAGAAGAGGAAGAGGAGGAAAGGAGGAGGAGGGAAGAGGAGGAGGAGAGGGACGAGGACAGGTGGTGGAGGGGGCGGGGAGGGGAGGGGAGGGGGAGGGGAAGGGGGGGGGGGAAGGGGATCGGGAGGGGGAGGGGGAATCGGGGGGGAGGGGAAGGGGTAAGGAGGGGAGGAGGAGGAGGAGGAGGAGGAGGAGGAGGAGGAGGTGGAGAGAGGAGAAGGAGGGGGAGGAGGATGAGGGGGAGGAGGAGGAGGAGGAGGAGGAGGAGGAGGAGGAAGAGGAGGAGGAGGAGGAGGAGGAGGAGGAAGAGGAGAGGAGGAGCAGGTGGAAAACATCCCACGTTAACGTCCCGACGTTCTCCAGCTTCCCGTCCCGCGGCAGGGCGTTGCGCACGCCGTGCCGCAGGGGCCTCCGCTGCGACACGCGGAGCAAAACTTCTGACCGCTGGCTGAGATAGGCTTCCCAGGCCTCTCAGAAGGGGGCCCGGGTAGGTTCGACTACACGTAGGAGTGGCCCTTCGCCGGAGTGGCATTTGGTGCGGGCTCACCCGGGTCCCCCCGATCGCCGAGCGCGATGCGGTAACGGCTGCCTGCATGTTTGGAGTTGGCCACCTTGCGCCCCCTTAATTCGCGCGCTAAAGGTCAGTCTTGTCTAGGGCCACTCTTGCTTGTATCCGATCGATGGGGCCAGAGGATCGCGCAGCATCGCCGATGCATTTGAGATGCGGTTCGATTCGGGGCCCGGCTTTATTCATGCGCATGTCGTTGATGCATCGCCGGCGTTGCCTACACATCGCCGATGTATTGGCGATGCAGCGCGATCCTCCGACCCCATGAGCTCGGACCCCATGTCGGGGCCTCTAATGGGCCACCAAACACCCACCCATCGCCGATAGGGGCAGGATAGCCCACTCCCCCAGGAACGTCCAGCTTTCGCTGTCGGGAGCCCATCGCCGATTCGTCGGCGATGTATCGCCGATTTCAGGTCGATGTTCCCCACCTGAAGCAGTCCCCACTTATCTTTCCCCTCAGCAGGGGAAGGAGGGAAAGGTTTGATTCAGGATGGGACAAACACACAGACAGAAACAATCGACGACCCCCAGGCACTTATGGGGAAATATCGGAAGTGGGGGGAAACGAAAACCCTGAAAGTATGGGAAAGTATTGATCTGATTTATCGGCGTTGTGTATCGCAGACGACTTCTCGCCCACGATCCACGCGCTAGCTCCGCACACGCCGTCCAGAAAACCGGCCCCCCGGCGGGGCTGTTCGGACGCAGCCCTGTCAAGGGCCGGCGCCCCTCATCGTCCATCCCACACGCTGGCTCCCAAATTTTGTTTTCGCCGAAAACCAGGGAAAGTCGTGGATTTGGGTCCCCATCGCCCCTGTGATAATCGAGCCGGACGAAAGGGGGGGATTGGGAAAGGGAAGGGTTACGAAATTTGCTGCATGCAGCTGGTTTCGGCCCCACCGAGGGGCCCATTCCTCGATACACGGGAAAATCAGCTACGTGAGCTGATTCTCAAACACCCCTTTTGCTATCCCCCCCGTTCGCCCAGCCCGAGATCATGTCTGGCTGCTTGCGGCAAGCTCCGCCACCGTGCCGGCCCAGCAGCTTGGGTGGCGACTGTTCGGGGGGGGGGCGCACGGGAGGCCGCAACGTGTGAGACCTCGACCTCGTGTCCCGAAGCTCGGGGGAGGCGCAGCGTGCGTCCCTCTCTTCCGCGTCCTGTCGTGGATTCTCTCCTCCCTCCTCCTCCTCCTCCTCTTCCTCCCTCCTCCTCCTCCTCCTCCTCCTCCTCCTCCTCCTCCTCCTCCTCCTCCTCCTCCTCCTCCCCCTCCTCCTCCTCTTCGTCTTTGCCGTCTGCCTTCCTTGCTTCCGCTTTTTGCGCTGGCTCTCGTGGGGCAGTTTTCGGTCTTGGGCATCGTTTGGGCGACCCTGGGCTGTCTTGGGGCCCTCTTGCCCTTCTGGGGGGGCCTCTTGCAGCCGTCCTGGGCCGTCGAGGGGCTCTCGTGGGCAATCTTGAAAGTCCCTCCAGGAAACCTCTTGGGCTAGCTCGGGGCTTTTACGTTAGCAAAGCATGGGAGCCGTATGTACACCCTCGTGGTTCTGCCTGTAGCGTCGACTAGCGGCGATTAGCGTCTTGGAGTCGTTGCGATAGTGCCGATTTAGCGCCGGTTAGCGTCGATTGGCGTCGATTTAGCGTCGATTCGCAGGAGCCGACAAGATGGTATGGAAGGCTCCCATGAGTTATCACCGAAGGCTTTCTTGGGCCGTCTTGGAGGATGATTCTGCCATTTGGGGGCTCTCGTGGACCCTCTGGGGGCCACCTTAGCGGCCTCAAGGGCCGTCTGGAGCTGATTGGCAGCTCGGGAGCGCAGATCCACTGTTTTCTGCCAGGGGTCGTGGCCTCGGGAGTGCGGACCAACATTTTCGTCCTCGCGCCGAAGGGTGAGGTGGACTGGCGGGGCTCTAGCAGGCCACAGACGCCCTGCCACACAGATTTTAGCATCCTACCGCGCGCGCGCCTCAGTGCGACAGCCAGCAAGGTGGCGGATTTTGGCAGGATGCGCACCGCGCCTAGGGGGGACAGCAGAGGGGGCGGGCCTTCTCAGAGGGCTCAGAAGGCCTCCAGCGATTTCTGAGCCTTCTCCGAATGGTCTGCAGCCCCAGAGGGCAGTTCAGAAGGCTGGCGGGGCTTCTGAGAAGCCCCGCCGCCTGCTGAGCAGGCCCTCTCACTTCCCCCCTGGCGCACCACACCGAAGGTGCCAAGGAAGCGCGAACCTGGAGCTGAGCAAGGCGCGCGGACCACTGACGGGCCCCGCTCCCGTCCAGAATCGGCGCGCTCCGTCGCGAGATGCAGCGGCGCGTGCTTCCTGGTCTGGGGGGGGTGCTGGCCTGGGGACCAGGCGCCCACGCGCCAGATCCATGGATTCCTAAGCTCAAACAGTGGCGAAGCGTCCTGGCTCGCCTACAGCCCCACCAGGGAATTTCCTGGGAACCTCTTGTGGTCTGCACCAAATGCTCTGAGAACATTTCTGGCCGGGGCTGTCTTGTGTTAACACATCGGGGCTACGTTCTAAGAACGTTGTTCTGAGTATTAGAACACTTTTGGGATTCTAAGAACATGCCGTGGTAGGACTATAGGAATGCCGGGACGGTCGGTCCCCTGCTCAATAAGCCACGTCGGCGTGCGCCCGAATCCAGGACAGCAGCACCAACTGGAGCCCGAGACTGCCCCCGCCGACCGCCCCCCGCCCCCCCGCCGAGCCGAGCCCGCCGAGCTGCTCCGCACCGGCGGCCGCGCCCTGCGCGGAGGCAACGGCGCCATAAGTACACCGCCGAGGAGGGCCCCTCGGCAGCGCTGGGGCGTGTGCCGCTCTTCCTCGGCGGGGGCCATCGAGGAGCATCCTGGGTCACCTTGGCAAAAGAGGTAATGGAGGATGACGATTAATAAATGGCCGGGGGTCGTGTTCACGCGGCGGCGCCCGGGATGAGGATTAGAACAAACCGGCCGCGGGCTGGAGAACTATGTTTTGTTAATCGTTCTCCTCCAGTCAGAAAATTATACAGTTTAATCGATCTCTCCAATTTTTTTGTATTAATCGTCATCCCGCATTGCGCGCGAGACCGAAGCGTGCACGGTGGAGGTGGTGCATGTGTCGCCCCTGGGGCGAGCCGAGCCCCCCGGGCGGAGGCCGTGCCGCTGCCTCTCCCTGCCCCTGCGTGCGCGTGCGCGCGGAGGCAGCAGCACTGCACGGCGGGGCTGCCGAAGGAGAGCAGGCGCTGCATTTTCTGTCGCACCAGGCGCTCTCACTAGGGGGCCACATGCGAACCCGACCCCTACCCCCCACGATTTCTGAGGGGGAGGGTGGGGTTCACTTCGCTCGGGAGCTCCCGAACGGCGTGAACCCCACCCTCCCCCTCAGAAATCGTGGGGGGTAGGGGTCGGGTTCGCATGTGGCCCCCTACTCACCCCATTTCGGGCCCCGGGACCCTCACGGACCGATCCGGCTCGAGAGAGGGCGCAGACGGATGGGGTGTCCAGAGCTCCGGAGGTGTTTTTTTGTGGCGGTGTTACAGTTTTGGGGCAACGCCGGATCTCGGGGACAAGCTTTCGGAGCTCCGCACGGATGTCTTGGATCGGCGCGCAAACCCCCTCCCCCACTCACACAGCGCGCTTCCCGCCGGCGCGTATCAATGAAGTTCGCGCGGAGAGCCCTGGAAGTTTAGGTTTACGCAGCTCGTCGTTCTGCTACGGTGAGTGCATGCTGGGGCGGTGGGTACAACAGTCCCCCCGCGCAGCGAGGATGGACGATCTTCCCCAGGGCTCCCTGGCATCCCTGCCTCCTCGGCCCATCCTTGGCCGCCTTCCTGGCCGCGCCCCACTCGCAAAGGGTCGCCATGGCCCTCCAAGGCCCCTGCATCCTTGTCGCACGTCCTGATGACACGGGTCGACCGTCTCTGCCGCTGGCCTGCAGGGGCCGGGCCGGGCAGCGTGCCCGGCGCTGCCTTGCGGCCGCCCACGGCGAAGCCTGGCAGCCGCGGGCAGCCAAGGCGGGGGCCCGCACGGCCAGCCACCAGGAGCCCTGGCAGCCCCGGGCCACGAAGGCCAGGACTCTCATGTTTCGGGGGCGGAAAAGAGGGGGGTGATGACTGGGGGGGGGATATCATGGCGGGGGCCATAATATTTCCCCATATTTCATGGCGCCTCTTTTTATTTCATTACGTCCCTGGCCCCCCCGCTGGGCCGCGCACATGCCGCCGGTCATGATTTGCACCCCCCCCTCTTGGACACCCCCCTCTTGGCCGCTCCCGAATGTTGGCGGGGCAAGCGATGACGACACCGGGCGGCGGAAGGCGACGGAGGACCGAGGCCAAGACGTCGGCGGGGTCCAGCAGGCGAGGGCAGCCAGGGCCTCGTGGCCGGTCGCCACCCGCAGCCGCTGGCACTCTGTTCGAGCACCGCTTGGGGACAAATGGGTTCCTCGGCCCTCGCATCGGGCCGATCCTTGGCGGTTGGCATTTGGCATGTGTTTCTGGCCTTGCCCTCCGCGGCACAAGCTTTGCAATAGCACCCTGCCTGACCGACGGGCAGGGGGGGGAGTGAAAGGAGGGGAGGTGGAGGGAAGAAGGAGGAGAAAGGAGGGAGCAGGAGGAGGAGAGAAGCGTCGGGTGAGGAGGATCAGGCGAAGGATGGTCAGCATGGAAGGACGTGGGAAGGACAACGATGAGATGGAGGAGGAGGAGGAGGAGGAGGAGGAGGAGGAGGCGGAGGCGGAGGAGCAGGAAAAGGTCAAGTGTGACGACGAGCGCGACGAGGGAGGGAACAATGGGGAGAACGAGGCGACGAGGAGGATCCAGGAAGGTGGGGCGGGAGGAGACGACGCCAGGGCGCGGAGCCAGGGAGGCGGGGCCGGGCCCCGCGGAGACGGGGCGGAGGGGGGGCAGGGGCGAGGCGGAGGACGCGGGCAGCGCGGCTCGAGGCGAGGGCCGTGGTCGTCTCCGTCCGCCGCCGCCCGCCCGCCGCCGGCGCCGACGCCGCCGCCGCCGCCGCCGCGGGAGGAGGGGGTCGGTCGGGGCTTGGCGGCGGGCCGCGTCCCGCAGCCGCCTGCCGTGGACGCAGCGGGCCCGCCCCGGGGAGGCGCCGGCTACAGGGGCGACGGCCGCCGGGACCACCCCGAGGAGGACGCGAGGCCGTCCCGCGCAGGGGGGGCCGCCGCCCGCGCCGCCGCCGCCGTGGCCAGTAGCGCCGCCGCTGGTCGCCTGCGAGGGGGAGCTCCTCTGCGTTCTTTCTCCTTCGCCTCCCCCCCTCCTCCCCGTCCTCCTCTTCCTCCTCTTCCTCCTCTTCCTTTTCCTCCTCCTCCTCCTCCTCCTCCTCCTCCTCCTCCTCCTCCCTCCCCCTCCTCCTCCTCCTCTTCCTCCTCCTCCTCCACTCCTCCTCCTCCTCCTCCTCCTCCTCCTCCTCCTCCTCCTCCTCCTCCTTCTCTCCTCCTCCACCCCTCCCCCTCCTCCTCCTCCTCCTCCTCCTCCTCCTCCTCCTCCTCCTCCTCCTCCTCCTCCTCCTCCTCCTCCTCCTCCTCCTCCTCCTCCCCCTCCTCGGTGGAGTCAGCGTCACGCGTCGCCCAGCAGTGCTCCTTGGCCAGAAGCATTGGCGCCCGATCTCATGCGTCTCGTATGGCTCATGCGACACCACTTCGGAGAAAAATGATGACCTCGGGCGCGGGCACGCAAGCACTCCGAGATCCCGTGGCCGTGGGCACCAGCATTGAGTCCAGGCAGACGTATTTGCCGCTCTGCTTCGCTGGCAGAGGGCTGGACGCTGCGCGTGTTTGTCTTGCCTCGGCTCCTCGCCAGGGCAGGCAGGAGGGATGCGGGTCGAGGCGCAGGTATCGTGGGTTGGTAGGCGCTCCACACCCCCGAGTCGATCAGCGAATCGTCCTCTTCCGGCTCTCGAGACGGTGGTGCGGCCACGGGCTTGCGCCCGCCGGGTCTGGTCCCGAGTCGTTCGCATTGAAGGCCAGTTTGCAGAAGGGGGTCTGGGGGGGAACCCTCGAAGGCTGGTGGGCTCAGCGAGCACGGATCCACGTTCAACTGACCCTCAGTCTGGGAGCCATGTGGCCATTACAGAGTAGAGGGGGAGGAGGAGAAGGAGGAGGGATGGGACGAGGAGGGTCGACGCTACGAGCTTCGCTCAAAGTTTGCCCAACGTCAAAAAAAAGGATGAGGAGGAAGAGGAAGAGGCGGAGGAGGAGGAGGAGAAGGGGGAGGAGGAGGAGGAGGAGGAGGAGGAGGAGGAGGAGGAGGAGGAGGAGGCGGAGGAGGAGGAGGGGGAGGAGGACGACGAGGACGATGATGAGGCTGTGGGCACAGAGGCCAGGCCGCCGACGTGGAGTCTTTCCGGCGTGCGCCCCGAAATGATACGCCCCCTCTCCCCAGGGCCTGCTTTGCTCGGGGGCGGAAAAGAGGGGGGCGATGACTAGGGGGGGGGTGGATATCATGGCGGGGGCCATGATATTTCCCCAGATTTCATGGCGCCTCTTCTTGTTTCATTACGTCCCTGGCCCCCCCGCTGGGCCGCGCACATGCCGCCGGTCATGATTTGCACGCCCCCCTCTTGGACACCCCCCTCTTGGCCGCTCCCGATTTACTCAGGAGGGAAAGAATCACAGAGACACAATTAATCGTCGATTCCCCCTAAAAATACGGGAAAATATGGGAAGTGGGGGGGGAGACAACAGCACATAAAAAATATGGGAAAATATTGGGAATCCTCTTATTTGTGTGCATTTTTATTTGGGTGTCCCAGGGCCCCTTCATTTGCGTCGCAGGTGCGCAGCCTGGGCACACGCGGACGCCTTTTCAGGAGTGCCGAGATCGGGGCCGTCCAAGAGGGAGAGAGTATGAATTAAGTCTGTGTGCACATTGTGGCCGGGGGCATGGAGAGTCTTCCGGATTGCACGGTCTTTTCTTATCCGCAAGGGCTTCGCCTCATGCCGCCGGCCCCCTGTCTCGGATAATATGGTAGATGCAAGAGCTAAATCATGAGGTCTGGGCGCCGCCGTGACGCAGTGTCGGGACTTGTTTGTTTTTCGACCCTGACCCTACGGATCTGCGTCACGGGTGCCACCGAATTTCAGAAATGTGGCAAATCCCTTGTGTTTTTTTACCCTGACCCTACGGCCCTACGGATCTGCGTGAGGGGTGCCACAGAATTTCAGACATGTGGCAAATCCCTTTTGTTTTTGGACCCTGACCCTGCCGATCTGCCCTGCCGATCTGCGAGAGGGGTGCCACCGAGTTTCAGAAATGTGGCAAATCCAATGTGTTTTTGCACCCTGACCCCGCCGATCTGCGTGAGGGGGGCCACCGAGTTTCAGGAATGTGGCAAATCCCGTGTGTTTTTGCACCCTGACCCCGCCGATCTGCGTGAGGGGTGCCACCGAATGTTAGAAATGTGGCAAATCCCATATGTTTTTGCACCCTGACCCCGCCGATCTGCGTGAGGGGTGCCACCGAGTGTCAGAAATGTGGCAAATCCTTTACATGTTTTTGCACCCTGACCCCACCGATCTGCGTGAGAGGTGCCACCGAATGTCAGAAATGTAGCACATCCCGTGTATTTTTGCACCCTGACTCCGCCGATCTGTGTGAGGGGTGCCAGCAAATTTCAGACATGTGGCAAATCCCCTGTGTTTTTGGACCCTGACCCCGTGGACCCTGACTCCGCCGATCTGCGTGAGGGGTGTCAATGTTTATTCACCCCAGCAATTCAGAGCATACGTTTTCGGCGTGGTAAAAATGCTCGCTTTGGGCCTCCCCCCCTCGCGCGGGGTGCATCAACAAAGAACAGTAAGCAGTCAACAAGGAACAGTAAGCAGCAAGAAGCAAAACTGTGACAGTGGAAACTGGAAGCTGCAACTGGCACAGGAAACTGCGAACCATCGGCCTACTGCCTGGTGGCCCCAGAAGAGGGCCGGCGGATCATTATGCTTATTATTGTTCTTCATCTCTGTAGTATTAGTCTTGTTATCTTCTTCTTAATATAATCAGTATGTCAATGCACCTCGTTATCTGCCTCCCCCTATTCTCTCACCACATGGCTGGGGCCATGATGCGCTAACCCGTTTTTTCCCTAGCCCCCAATCTTGGGAAAGCAATGGTGACCGCATTGCTTGGTCAAGGAAGGAGGAGGATTATAAACGGTTGCGCTTCCAACTCAGCCATTGGTTAGCGAGCGAGCGAGGATTGAGTGACGCTCTGCTGCGTTTATCCTGCGGCTGTCCAGCAAACACGGCGGTCTCTGGCGTGCCCGCTGATCGGCGCAAGACGCTGTCTCTCGCCCGCACGAGCCATGGATCTGGCTGAGACGGATCCTCGGCGTCACTGCGCCGATTCGGTTCTGCCAGCAAGTCGCGGGCGGGGGGCGGGAGGATGGGATGTTTGTACGAGCAGGGAAGATGACGGCTTCGAGATTTCAAAATCTATTCGGAATCAGTTGCACATTTTCGATGGAAGCACGCTGGATGTACCGTGCACGGATCGCCGCCCAACCATTGCGCATCGAGAGTGCAAGGTCTTGCTGTTTGGGGGTCCGCGCTGGTCAACGTGTTCAGCTTGCCTTTGGAGGCCTCTCGAGGAGGAGGAAGAGGATGAAGAGGAGGAGGAGGAGGAGGAGGAGGAGGAGGAGGAGGAGGAGGGCAACAGGCGGAGAAGGGTGATGGCGGATGGGAGAGGACGACAGCACTGCACGGGAGGGGAAGGGTGGGGGGGGAGGTCGGGGGAAGACGTTGCAGCGGGCACACTGTTGTGTGGAAGGACCGAGAGCGCTCGGATGGGACAAGCTCATCAGAAATATGTGCCACCCCGCAGTTGCGGTTAAGAATGAGGGGGCGGGGGCGGGACGCGGTCGCGGGTGCGTCGCGGGTGGGTCACGGCGTGAGTCGCGGGGGGGGTCGCGGGGGGGTCGCGGGGTGGGTCGCGGGAGGTCTCGAATGCTCTGGGGCTTCAGGGTCTCGGGGCGGCGGCCAGGCCTCGTGGACCCTGACCCTGGCCTTGCCGCAGGCTCGCCCCTCTTGCCCTCGCCGGCCGAGGGCGAGGGAGGGTCAGGAGGGGGAAAAACACACGGACACAATTAATCGTCGACTCCCAGAAACTACGGGAAAATATGGGAAGTAGGGGGGAGGACAGAGACCCAGAAAATAGAGGAAAATATAGGGGAATCCTTTTTATTTGTGTGTATTTATTTGTGTGTCCTGGGGCCCCTTCAGAGGGATGGGAGCGAAGAGACCTTGGGGAGGAGGAGGAGGAGGAGGAGGAGGAGGAGGAGGAGGAGAGAGGAGGAGGAGAGGAGGAGGAGGGCTCCCCAGCGAGGAGGTCTTGGGAGCTGGGCCCTCCCGCCCCCGACGCCTCCCGCAAGGCCGCTGTTGGCCCGCAGGTCCTCGAAGTCGCTGGCGGAGAGGAGCAGGAGAGCCACGGGGCCCCCGCGCGTGCGCGGCGCTGGGAAGCCGTCGGCGCTCGCTCTGGATTTCCACAGCTTGCCAGCCTCGAAGGCTGGTAAGCCGTGGAAACCTGTGGCGTTCCTCCTCCCTCTCCTCCTCCTCCTCCTCCTCCTCCTCCTCCTCTCCTCCTCCTCCTCCCACCTCCTTCCTCCTCCTCCTCCTCCTCCTCCTCCTCCTCCTCGTCTTCCCCCTCCTCCTCCTCTTCGGCTGGGCGCATCCCTAAGATTGACACGCCAGAAGGCGAGGACAATCTCAGGGATGCGCCCTCAAAAGATAGGGGAGTCCCTAAGATTGGCATCGTGACGAGGAGATGCCCAGCATAGGGGTGGGGATATGTTCCAGGCTGGTAAACAGCAACTGTTCCGAGAACTGGATCGCGCCGTGCGAGGATCAGGGCGGGCGGTTGTTCGCTGTGTTCGGCACCCGGGGGGCCCTCGCCGGGCCCCGGGGCCGTCAAAGGATGGCTCGGGACCAGAGGCCCGTCCTGGGGCAAGGGTCGGGGCTTCCGGGGACGCCGTCCTGAGGAAATCAGGACCTCGCATGTCTGGGCTGTCCGCGGAGGGAAAGGTACCGGTTCTGTGGCAGCGCGCACGGGGCGCACTGGCATTGCACGCGCTGGGGGCACCCGCCGGAGCGAGAGGAGGAGGAGGAGGAGGAGGAGGAGGAGGAGGAGGAGGAGGAGGAGGAGGAGGAGGAGAGGCAGGAGGAGGAAAGGAGGAGGAGGGAGGAGGAGGAGGGAGGAGGAGGAGGAGGAGGGGAGGAGGGGGAGGAGGGGGAGGAGGAGGAGGAGGAGAGGAGGAGGAAGGAGGAGGAGGAGGAGGAGGAGGAGGATGAGGCGGAGGAGGAGCGGAGGAGGAGGAGGCGGCGGAGGAGGAGGAGGAGGCGGGGCAGAGCGAGGGAGGATTGTGCGGGCGGCAGTGCGCAACGAGGCACGGGCGCTGGGGAAGGGTTCTGGCAGGCATCCCCCGAGCGCTCCCTGGAGCAACAGTGGTGGCATCCTCCTCCTCCTCCTCCTTCTCCTCCTCCTCCTCCTCCTCCTCCTCCTCGTCCTCCTCCTCCTCGTCCTGGAGTTGAGCGAGGCAGCGGAGGCTGAGCAAGGAGAGCTTCCGCCGCTGGCCTTGCATTCATGGTCCAGTGCCTGGTGACCAGTGGCACTTCTCAGCCCTGGAAGCTCCACCAACAGACAGGGGTTGCCGGGAAGGCTTCTCGATCAGATCCGTGGTATTGTGGATGAGCCAGCGTGGTCAGCCCCCCTGCTGATCAACGAGATCGGTCTCTGCCCTAAGCTGCCGCCACAGGGGGGGGAAACGGGCCGAAGGGCTTCTGGGACAGTGTTGTTCGTGATTAAAGCGCGTTGCGAGTAGCCCGCAAACGAGCCCTCGAAGTCGACTTAGGTCGGTACATCGGCTTCGACTGTTCCCGGGCCATGATGGATTGCGTGAAGTTTCTCGACACGTCAATGCCCTTATTTCTGTTCCATTGCTGCCGATCCCTGGGGATGCCAGCGGTTCGGAGAAGAGGAGGACGAGGAGGAGGAGGAGGAGGAGGAGGAGTCTTGTGCACCAGATGTGGAGTTGTCACTGCCACCCCCTCTCGCTTTGGAGGACCTCCCCCTTGCCCAGGACGCCCGTGAAATGCTTGCCGAGTTTCCATGCTTCTGGCTCCGCGTCCCCTCTTGTGGGTCCACGGCCAGACGGCGAAGGAGGGGTCTTCGAAGCTAGAGGGCGCGTGCCCCTAGGCTTACGTCGGGCATGTCCCTTGCAGGAGGGATATTCAAAAGTAGTCAAAAATAATACGGGAACGATTGCTTCACGATGCTTTGGCAATCCTTTGATCTGTGTTGGCTATTTTGTTCTTCCCAAATCCGCCTGTAGGGGGACAATCCCGACCTAACCCTAGGCGCTGACGACGGGGTCGGGTCGGACGGGAGCGGGGGGGGACTGCACTGACAATAAAGCGCCTCCGTCGATGCGGCTGGAGTTGCGCCATGGTCCAAGCAGGCCGCGTGGCAGGCAGAGCGAACGGTACCCCACCAGGACGGATCCAGACGGTTCCCCTAGCAGAGCTGGTAGGCATAACATCGTAGCTTTGCAGTGCACCAGTGGTGAACGTCATGCTGCTTTCGACCGCCTATGTGTGATAGCTGGGATTCCCTGTGGACCAGAACGGAGACATGGTGCGAATTCAGCAGCGCGGTTCGAATCTTGGGAGGCCTACAATAGGCCATCTTGGGCCGTGCCACCTACCACCTCGAGGCGGGGCAGGTTGGGGTCCACACTACTCGTGATGACCGTGCTGCCAGCCTGATTGCGGAGGAGCGTGCCGGGAGAGGAGCACGCAGAGCCAGGCTTCCCAGGCGCGTCACGCAGCAGATCGCGGACATCGATAATGAAGCCGTCCGCCTGAAGGCGCGTTTGACAGAAATCGCCCTGCAAGTGGCCATCCAAACCCCGTCCCTGCATTGGGCCACTTCTCAAGCTGATCGCGTGGCCTCCAGGCGAGATTCCAGGGCTCAGCGTCAGACGAACGTTGATCACCCCAGTTTTTCGCGTGTGTCGTCCCTCCGCGTCATGCTCGGGTTTGGGGACTTGGAGTGTGCGCCAGGAGAGATGAGGCTCGCGGAGCAGCGGAGAGGAAACGAGAACCCAACTCCACAGGAGGACCGACGACATCTCAAGGACAGCAAAAGCGCGAGGACGAGGAGAAGGAACCGCAGGCGGAGCAGGTGCAGGCAGAGGCTCCTCTGGAGGATCGGTCTCCCGAAGCTCGGGGCTCGAGGAGGGGGAGGGGCAGGTGGGTGGTGGAGTGGTATCCCCAGGCCTCCGACGAGGTGACCCTCTCTCCACAAGCGGGCAACACACGTCCGCAGCCCTTCCCTCGGAGCGTTCTCCTCGCTGCCCCGGAGCCATGTGTTTGACCTCCCCGGGGCCCAGCGAGGGGAAGCCCCGGGGACGGAAGTCTGGGTCACCAACCGCGGGGGATGTCGAGAAGCCCCCGCGTCGCGAACTCTCAGGCTGCGGAGGGATTTCTCCGACTCCCGCGCGGGTGGCGCTGCGGGCGATTCCTCATGATGCCCCCCCTATGGTGCATGAGGTACTCCGAGACAGTCCACGCTTTCACCGAGGGAGCTTCTCGGCGAAAGCGTGGAGTTTCTCGGAATGCCCCATGCACCATGAATGGGGGCATTATGAGGAAACGCCTGCAGCGCCACCTGCCGTCCGCGGTTCGGCCGATTCGGCTGCGTCGCAGGCAGCTGCGTTCGGTCGGCTCGCTTCGATCGGTTGAGCGTGCCGTTGCCGCGCCGCTGCGCCTGAATTTCCAGGCTGCCCGCGGCCCTGCTGTCCTAGGTCGGTGTCGGTCTCGCTGCCGCCTCGGTCGGCCTGCTCGCGTGCGCCGTCTTCGTGGGCGGCCCTCCGACACCACGCCCTGGCATCGCACACGAGCACGCCGTCGGAGCTCTGGAGCTCTCGTGGGCGGGGAGCAGGTCCACAGTCGCGGCCCCTCGCGGGCCTGGACTCCTCGGCCGCGGCCACGCGGACAACCGGGGCCGGTCCGCGCGGGCCCGGCGCGGAACGCACCCACATGGGGTCGCGCATCCCTGGGGCCGACGGCCACGGTGACGATGGCGATGACGATGTCATCGTCAGCGTCATCGCCATCGCCCCGGTGTCCAGGCCGGGAGGGCGTGGGCGTGGACACGTGACGTGCGAGGAAATCCGATTGAAGACCGGTCCCCAGACCCCCTCTCCGGGCCCGCGCGAGCCAGCCCGCCCCCCGGGTCGATGCTTGACGGCCTCCAGGCCCGAAGCGGCCCTGGGCGCCGAGACTTGCAAGCAGAGGTCGGTCCTCCGTGTTGCTGTTCCTCGATGCGTTCGCCGCTCGTGAAGTGTGGTAGCGATGCCGCCCCCCGCAGGAGGGCCCTGCAGGACTCCTCCGAGATCCAGCGGGACCCCTCCGCGGCGACGCGGGAGAAGTGGCTGCCGGAGGGCGCCAACTGTGCACGCCCAGTTCCGTTCTTGTCCAGCCCCATCCTCCAACGGTTTGGCCGGGTAGCGCTCTGCGAGGTGGACCGTGGTACGAGAATGGCACAAGCCCCCGTGTGGCAAGACGAATGTGTATCCTCTCACTCTGCCCGATGCTTGTGGGCAGTCGGGCTCAGGCGCTCGGCCGATTTTGAGCAGCCCGCCCACCACCGTGGGGCATCGAGTTCTCGGGAGTGGCCCGCGCCCTTGCGCTACAGAGCCCCCGTCTCCGCCACTCGTTGAGGAGAGGCATCAACATCACCCCCTTTTTTTGACCACCATTGCCACACTTGTTCGGGCCCTTCGAGGACGCCAAAGTGCTCCAGCCATCTGATGTTCCAACCTACTTTAGCCTTGATCACCAGAAGCAGTTTCGAGCACCAAGAAAGTACCGAGCCTGGAGGGTTTCCGCGTGTCCGGCCCTGGGAGGCCACACTTGGCCGTCCTTGCTCCGATACTCCCCTGGGTGGTCGGCATGCTTTCTGGAATGTGGTCTTTCAGTGCGATGTGAGCAACACAAGTCCAGCCACTAATCAGTCCTACAGTAGGGGTCCTGAAGAAGGAACCCTGTTCGTTGGGGAGGGGCTCCGTGTTCCTTGAGTGTTTCACAGCTTGCCTTGGGTTTTGCTCAGGTTTTCGAAGGGAAATCGAAGTTCAACTTCTGGAGAAAAGGGGCCTCGTTCCTTATGTAGGGTTCCTTAGGTCAACGCCCCTTCTGTGCCCGCAGTGCGGAAATATCGACCCCGCCGCCACGGAGCGCGCCGCCGGCCGCTGCCCGGCACCGGTGCACAATGCCCTCCTATAGGCACGCCAGGACGGCGCCCCACGCCGACCTTTGCAGCCAGGCCGCTGTGCAGGAGGAGCCCTTCTTCGCTGGGGAGGGGCGCTCCGTGTTCCTTTAGCTGCTTGACAGCCTGTCTTAGGTCTTCCTTCTTTCGGGGGCGGAAAAGAGGGGGTTGATGACTAGGGGGGGTGGATATCATGGCGTGGGCCATGATATTTCCCCAGATTTCATGGCGCCTCTTCTTCTTTCATTTTCGTCCCTGGCCCCCCCGCTGGGCCGCGCACGTGCCGCCCGCCGGTCATGATTTGCACCCCCCCTCTTGGACACCCCCTTCTTGGCCGCTCCCGATTTTTGGCTCTCTCTGGGAAGTCGACGTGGGCGACGCAAGAAAACGGGGCCGTCTTCGCCGACAATCGCGCGCAGACTGCCCGCGCAAGATCGCGCGTAGGCGCCCTCGTCTTCAATGTGGCGTGCCGAGTTGTTGGCCCGCGTGAGCCGCGGCGTGAGCTCGCTATGCCACCTCGCGTAAGGCCCGATTTTGATCGTCGCCCACGAGGATTTTTCGGCAAAAGGGGCCTCGTTCCTTATTTTCGTGCGAAGCGAGCTATGCACAGGCACCGATCCTGGCAAGGCCCATCCTTGACCCAGGATCGGTGCACATGCCTTCCTGGCCAAGGTCGGAGGGCGTATGCGCCGATCCTGGGCTCAGGATGGGCCTTGCCAGAATCGGTGTATGTGCATAGTTCTGTTTCCTCTATGATCTGGGGTTCCTTACGACAGCGCCTTTCTTGTACAGAGGCCCAGGAGGGGCCTGGCCAGGGCCTGCGCCAGGGGAGGTCGGTTCGGGGAAAATCGGTCCGGGGAGGGCACCCCTGGTGTGCTTCGTGTTCGTTGGACGTTCTTGTGCATCCCTCCTCCTCCTCCTCCTCCTCCTCCTCCTCCTCCTCCTCCTCCTCCTCCGCCTCCTCCTCCTCCTCCTCCTCCTCCTCCTCCGCGGGGTGTCGGGCCAAAGCGCCCCCTGGCGGAGGCGGGGGCCGCCGGGACTTCGGGGGAAAAGCCCCCGCGCCCGGGACGGCCCCCAAAGCGGGGTCCCCTTCCCGGGGGGCCCCCGGCCACGCAGCCTCCCACGGGAGCCTGGCTACCCAGCCAGGTGTCCCCCGTGGGAGTCGTGGCTGGGGGGTCCTTCTTCCCTGTCGTGTCGTGGCCGTCGCTGTCGTCGTCGGTCGTGTCGTGGCGGGCATGGGGTGGGTGGTGTGGGTTTGGTGGTGGCTTGGCCCCTCCCCGGCCCTCCCCGTTCTGTCGGCTGCCGGGTGTTTCCGGCTGGGCTGGTTTCCGGCCGACAGAACGCGGGGGGGGAGCTGGCCAGCCATCCCCATGCTGCCCGCTTGCGGGGGGCCCGCCGGCGCCGTGCGCCGCCTCCGCGCCGAGAGCGCCCTGCGGCCCGGCCGCGCCCGCGGGCGCCCGGCCACGGCGGCGCGCGCATTTAGTACCGTGCACTCCCCCGTCCGCGGGCGCTTCCATTTCATTCCATTCCATCCCTCCTCCTCCTCCTCCTCCCTTTTCCATCTCCTCCTCCTCCTCACCCCTCCTCCTCCTCCTCCTCCCCTTCCTCCTTCCTCCTCCTCCTCCTCCTCCTCCTCCTCCTCCTCCTCCTCCTCCTCCTCCTCCTCCCCCTCCTCCTGGGTCGCCCACGGCCCTGGATGCTCCGCTTGCTCTGGCCGACGGCGGGCCTCGTGTCCTCGAGGGGCGCCCCTCTGGCCTGCACTCCAGCTGCAGCACGCCGAGCCGGCAGAGGCTCAGGCTGGGCCTGGCCAGGGCTGGCGGTGCTCGGTTCGGTTCCTCCGATTCGTTTCGATGTGATTTCGATCGGTTCCGATTCGAATTCGATTCGGATTTCGATTCGATGTCGATCGATTCCGATTCGGATTCGGTTCGATTTCGATCGGTTCCGATTCGGATTCGATTCGGATTTCGATTCGATTTCGATCGATTCCGATTCGGATTCGGTTCGATTTCGATCGGTTCCGATTCGGATTCGATTCGGCTCCGGGCTCCGATTGGGGATCCGACCTCTCGGTGGAGGCCTGCGGGCCCGCCGACGTCCACCGAGTCGACCTCTCCCAACTCGGCTGCCGATCTCCGCCGATCCGATTCTTGTCGACCGCCGACCCGACTCGTCGATGCGCTCCTGGGCTCTCCGGGGGCTGGCGTCGGCGCCCACCTGCCGGGGGCGGCAAAGAGGGGGGTAATGGCTAGGGGTGGGTGGGATAGCATGGCGGGGGCCATGCTATTTCCCGAGATCTCACGGCGCCTCGCCTCGTTCCATTACACGCCCCTGGCCCCCCCCGCGAGGCCGCGCACGTGCCGCCGGTCATGTTCGTCACGGTCCCCCCTCTTGGACACCCCCCTCTTGTCATTCAGTGGCGAAGCGTCCTGGTTCGCCTATAGTGCTACCAAACAATGTTCTAAGAACCTTTTGTGGTTCCCACGAAATGTTCTTAGAGCATTTCTGGTTGGGACTGTTTTGTTTTATCACATCGGGTTCATGTTCTAAGAACCTTGTTCTTGTTAGGACTATAGGAATGCCGGGACGGTCGGTCCCTGCTCAGTTTTGGCCGCTCCCGAGCCCGGCGCCCTCCGAGGCTGCTCGACGACCCGCGGCGCATGGGCGACCAAATCACCGGGCTCCGCCGCCTGTTGGTGGCCCAGCGCACCTGCGGAGGCCGCGCGGGGGGGGGGCCCTCGCCGCCGTCCCCGCGGCCACGCGCAGGGGAGGGCGGGTAGGGTCGAGTCGGGCACGTCCCTCAGGAGGAGGAGGAGGAGGAGGAGGAAGAGGAGGAGGAGGAGGAAGAGGAGGAGGAGGAGGAGGAGGAGGAGGAGGAGGAGGAGGAGGAGTGCTCGAGAACGGCAAGACATGGTCTGGTGCTGGTGTTTCGTGCTCCCTCTGCTCCGAT